GGTGGTTGTTTGTTTTTTTGTTGCTTGTTTTTTTTAAGGAAAAAAAAGGAGTGAGATCGAGGAGGTCTTCCCAGGTTGGGCATTTTTTTCATATCTTATTTATTACGCTGGTGAACATTTGGCCATTTAACACTTTTCAATCACAAGGCTCGTAGTCATAATATAGTACAAACCCTTGACATCAAAGGCAAAGGTATTGTGGGGGAAATCCAAAGAAACTGCGCGGTAAACGTCGCCGATCGGCGAGATGTCACGTTGGTTTTTTGGATTTTTTTGTCGTTTGTTCGGGTTTTTTTGTTTTTTGTTTGTTTTGAAAAGGGGGGGGGGGGTTTAAAGAAAAGAAAAGGACGGGGATTAAGGAGGAAGGGGGGAGGGGTGGATATACGGCCAGGATATCAATTTGTGTTAAAATTGTCTTTGAAAGTTTTACGCAGTCAATGCCTGTACTGATTTTTTTTTAAATTTATAAACTCCAACACGGAACATATCAAACTGGGGACATTTGTTATAAAACAATGACCAATCAAGAGAACTCTCAGTTTCGTCATTTAATGGTGAGTGAATGTAACTACTGCCGTTTCGATCTCTGAAATTGGCTAATATTCTCCACTTATACAGACGCCAACATAAGTTAAGGACCACTTGCAAACACTCTGACTGGTCTTCTTGGGTCGACCAGCACGTGGGCGTTCTTGGACTGATCCAGTGGCTTGATGGCGCTGCGTCAAGCGGACAATGACAGAGTGTGACACTGCAAGCCTTCTGGCAACTTCTCGGGCTCCAACTCCCATCTTGCAGCCATGCCATAGCTCTGGCACGATTGGAGTCTCTCAGTTTCCGTCTCTGTGGCATATTGATGCGATACTGGATTTTTCGCAAACGGCTGCAAATATTGCAACCAAAGTGAGCACAGTTCGAGACCGTACGTCCGTTTATGACGTGCACCAGAAATTTTAACTGAGAAATGTCCGTGGTATAGGCCACAGGTCGATAAACAACAGCAAATTAGGCCAAAATTCCAGGAGGATTCCCGTGCGGCACGTGGTGGTTTTGCCCCTTTAGGAAGCTTTGCAGCAGGCATTGGTGACCCATTAACACTTTCAGAGCAGAACAAAAAAATCAGGGCTGTCTGTTAGGGTGGTCCTTAATTTATGTTTAAGTCTGTATGGTCTTATTGTGTTGCAAGTACCGTAAAACTCTTCCTCAAACTATCACAGATGGTATCCCCGAGGATTTCTCCGTCATCATCACCATGCGTCCTGACGAGGGTGTGGAGGGCAAGGTGTTCTCCATCTACAGCGATAGGACCGCCCACGAGATCATGTCACTCAGTGTTGGCTCCTCCCCTCAGTTCCTCTACAGGGATACCAACAACCAGCCAGGGCCAGAGACGTCCCCCAGATTTGACATTCCTTTGAATGATGGATTGTGAGTACATTAATGTGTGGTTTGTTTGTTTGTTTGTCTGTTTGTTTGTTTGTTTGTTTGTTTGTTTGTTGTTGTGGTGGGGGTGGTGGCGATGCGACATTCCTTTGAATGATGGATTGTGAGTACATTAATTTGTTGTTTGTTTGTTTGTTTGTTTGTTTGTTTGTTTGTTTGTTTGTTGTTGTGGTGGTGGTGGTGGTGCTATTGTAGGTGGTAGTGGTGGTGTTGTCGTTGTTGTTGTGGTTGTTGTGGTTGTTGTTTGTTTTTTGTGTTGTTTATGTTTTGTTGGTGGTGGTGGAGGTGGTGGTGTTGTAGTGGTTGGTGGTGGTGGTGGTGTTGTTGTAGTGGTTGTTGTTGGTGGTGGTGTTGATGTTGTAGTGGTTGGTGGTGGTGGTGGTGAGACATTCCTTTGAATGATGGATTGTGAGTGCCTCTTGTTGTTGTTGTTGTTGTTGTTATTCTTATTTTTGTTGTTGTGAGTGGTGGTGGTGGTGTTGTTGTTGGCGTAGTTGTTGTTGTTGTTGTTGTTGTTGTTGTTGTTGTTGTTGTTGTTGTTGTTGTTGTGTTGTTGTGTTGTTGTTGTGTTGTTGTTGTTTTTCTTTTTTGTGTTGGGGGGAGGGTAGATTTTTCTGTTTTTGTTTGTTTGGTACTTTTTAGTGTATGTTTTCTTATTGTTTGTTTGTTCTTGTTGTGGAAAGGGTTTCTTTATGACCTTTGCAGCAACTCACGTTCACATTTGTGTGTGCTCACGTATGTCATGTTTTTGTCTAGCTTCCTTTTGTTTTAGTTTTTAGAAAGAGTACCAAATATTAGAGGTTTTACAAGAGTCACAAACGACAGAGGAGAGATAAGGATGATATAATTATATTTGATAGGAAAAAATGAGCAAACTACACCTGCAGTTTTAACCGTCTCGTTATTTGAATGTTATTACCTGTATGTCTATTTTGTTTAATAGTACTTTTGATCTCAGACCAAACGGAATTAATTAGTATAATTTGAAATTGCTTTCACCTGCTTCGATTGATAATAAAAAAACTGGATGTATATGATAGTTAGAATTTGAAACTTGAGGTTATTCGCTTGATTGACTAAAAACAACTACAAACAAACAAACAAACAAACAAACAAACAAACAAACAAACAAACAACAACAAAAAACAAGCTGTGTGTGATCGTTGTCGCTGTTGAAGGAAAATATCAGACAGAAGTACAAGAAATAAATTAATTCCATGTTGGGGTAGACTAACAGATCTACACCTCCAGGTAAAACCGTGTGTGTGATTACATTTTCCCTGGGTGTTGTTTGTGTGTGTGTGTGTGTGTGTGTGTGTGTGTGTGTGTGTGTGTGTGTGTGT